CCTACCTCTCGAATGTCAAACCTGTGCTAGCCTTTTGTTCTCCTAGCCTCCGCTTTCCTTAAAGCTTTAATACTTGACCTTCTCCACTAGCTTTATCACAAAAGCAATATCTTAGGAAGTATTTCTCATTCCTAAAATGAATTAAGCTCAATCATGTTTAATTGTTTCCTATTAGTGTGCCTTGACTTTAATCCAAGTTTCACAAACGATTTTATAATCAGTTTGGGGGTTCTTTAAATATTGAAATCCAATTCATGAGTTTGGTTTCCTATTTAATTTCAGCTTAAAAACAACGTTCTAAAGAAATTTCGGCAGCATGCCGGCATAAATAGGAAAAATGTCAAACCTACAATTCAAGTTCAATTTCAAAATAAATTCTCCAGAATCCATCAAAACCAGTTTCCAATCAATTCAACAAGTCCAATGACAGAAAAAACCACCAAATTTCATTCAATTATAACGACAATTGTTCAAATCCAAACCCTAAATCAAAATTATTCAAATCTAACAAAAATTAAACTTTCTCAAGTTTGAAATTGAAATCAAGAGTGGGTTTCAAGGGCTTTTACCTCAAATTAGTTGATGGAGCCTTGTTTCCCACTGTTTCTCCTGTTTTCTATGGTTTTTTTGTGTGTCTCGGCAACAAGCCTCGAGAGAGAGAGAGAGAGAGATTGAAATAGCTGGAAAGGGAGAGAGAACCGGAGAGAGAGACAGCCGGTGAGAGTGAAAGAGAGAGCCCGGAGGTGGTTGGCCGGCGTGGGAAAAGAAAATAGAGAGAGAGGCGGTGGTGGGAGAAACCAGAGGAGAGAGAGAGAGAGAGATAGAAAAGAAAAAGAAAGAAAGAAAGAGAGAAAGATGAGGGGGTTCTGTGGGCTGCACGGGAAGGAAAAAGGGAAAGGAAAAAGAAGAAAAGCAAAAAAAGAAAAGGAAAGAAAAAAGGAAAAAGGGATAAATGGAAAAAAGGAGAATGCACTAAAATTTAAGTGTATTTTCAAAATTTTTGGGGTGAAATCATAAATATTAAAAATAATTTAAAGTTCCTTGATTAATTGTGAAAATCAAATTAGGCACACTAATAACTCATAATTTAGCATAATTAAACATGTTTAATTCTGATGGGCGTTACAGATATTTGTAAAATAAAATAGATGCTCATAAAGTTTTAGATAAAATTGGTAGACGAAACATTTAAGAACCAAAAAAAAGACTTAAGAACTATCTAAACCAAAAGTTTTTTTTTTTTTTGGCAACATCACTTCCTACCAACTCACAAAGCACTTTGATGCGAGCTACATGAGGATTTGCCCATCTATATGACAAGGAATGGAAGTGTGGATGAATCGACATCAAATAGAGGAATTCAATTTTTTTTTTATATTGAGCCAGATGAAAGGACCGGTTGTTGACGCAGTCGGTGCCAGTAGTAGGCATAGAAAGGTATCCTTATCCTTCTTATATTCAAGTGACTTCGTACCCAATTGGCTCAATTTGAGTTCTGACTATAACTGCAACCTATCTCATATTGGGGAGAAGTGTACCGCTCTCGATCAAACTAGAAATTTCATAAGAGAAGAAAGCGTAGAAAAGAAAGGAGAAATCGTTTTGATTCAAGGCTCCGCCCTTTTCTTTTAAGTATTTAACTGTTGGGATTTTAGCTATAAGAAAAAAATAGATATCTCAAAGAATGTGTGATAAAGGACAACCGGGAACCATAAAGATCTGTACAAAATAATCATAAATTTTTTTTCTTATCATAATCCCTTAAGAAATTCAAATCATGGAATGCAAGTTTGAGACATGAGGGTATGTTTTTTTTCATTCTTTTGAAGAAGTCTTCCTAGCTATAATTAATTTTTAGTGTATGTTTTGTTTTTTTTTTTATTTTTTCTAAAAATACCATTTTTATTTATAGCTAATGTGATGTATGTTATTGGATTTTAATGTAGGATAAAATTGTGATAAATAGAAATTATGAATTAGTGGACACATTAATAAATTTATAGCCCCGTTTAATTAATGTATTTAAGTTAGTATTTTAAATTTAAATTTAAATTTTGTACTAGAATTGGAAACTTTTTTATTCAAAATTTTTAAATAAGAAAAAGGATATTTTCAAACGCTTCAACCAAATGAGACTAGGTGCAAATATATGAGACTTGTTCATTTGCACTCAAACTCAAAAAACGTTTGAACTTAAGTTATAACTTTATTCAAGTTCATTTTTTTTTTTTTGTAAAATTTGAGTTTGAATTTGACTTTTAACATGAGATTGAGGTTAAAATCTGAGTTTAATTTCCCCCTTCAACTCAAGTTTCTAAACTCAAACTTAAGTTAATGAACATTACTTTTTTTATTCTAAAGAATGTCATAACTTTTTCGTTTTAATTTCGATTGAGACACGAATAAAACCACACTCATATACCCAATTAAAATTTTTCATCACCATTGAGTTTTTATTAAAATACTATCTAAATACAAATTTAAGTTTTGACTCACCGAAACACAAACTCAAATAGATTCTCAATTTAAATTATAACTCAAAATGTGCACATCTAAACATAAGTCTCAACTTAAACCATACTTAATTATACTTTAACTCAAATCAAAGTCTCAACTCAAATCACCTTAACTCAAAAAATGTAAATGAACAAGCCATAATTACTCGTGACCTAATAGTAGGGTTGTTTATGAGTTGAGTTAGTGCGGGGTATGACTTTTTTTTACCCTGTCCTAAGGGTGCGGGTTGCCCATATTTGGCCCTCACGATGTTAGAAAAATTTCACAACCTAATGATGTTTTGGTTGGGTTGGGGTGGTGCGGGGTGGATTGGGTAGTCGGTTTCAACATTTAAAGAATCAAAGACTCAAAGTTCAATCCAACATAAAACATGAAGCAAAGTAGTCCATCCAACATCAAACATAATGCAAACATAAATTAGTCTATACTTATAAATTAGTCTTAACATAAAACAAACATAGAGGCTTAATTCAAACATGAAGAGATTAGAGAGTAGAAATGAATTGCATATCTATGATTTGATATAACATGAGGTAAGTTAGAGTGCATATTGGGTTGGAGTGTGCAGGCCATTATAGATTCAACTCATATCCTGTCCTAAAACTTCAGGCAAAACATTGAATAGGCCGTAAAAAAAATATAGTACTAAAAATTATATTTTTCAAATTAGGGTGGGATAGGATGGGTTCGGCATGCGGGTTTTACGGGTTTTTTATGGGTTTGTGGACAACCTAACTAATAGTACCCATATCAGCCGAGGAAAAAAAAAAAAACAAAAACACAATATTCCCTGCCTCCGAAACCCTCCGTCTCCTCCTCCATCCCATCCATAGCAGCAAGACGCGCTTCCCCTCTTGACTTGTTCGTTCATCAACTAATTTTCTTTACAAAAAGCTCCAGTTCATCAACGTGAAGCTTTTTCCACACGGCGTCCAACTCGGCTTTCTTCGATGCCAGAAGCAAATCGAGTTCCTTCTTAACAACCTCTTCTGGTAAGATCTTCATACCAAATCCAATCATCTCAGTTGAACGCACTGAAACGCTCGATTTTCCACCAATCTCACTCTTTCTAGAACCTTCTTTCGGAGCTGCAGGTGAAGCCATGGTAGCCTTTCCGTTACTCTTTGCAGCGCCGTTCGACTTCGGCGAAGAGACGCTGGCATTGCTGCTGCCGCCGCCCCATATCTTCGAGAGCTCGGAGACGTTCTACTCATGCGGCTTCGTAGGGTTGTATTTCTTCCTTGCCGCGTTGTTTGAGCACTTCTTCTTCATCCTCCGGACTTTGTCGGACAACTGCGCCTTCGTGACCTCAACGCGCAGCGACTTCTTGATGAAATCATGGAAGGCATTCATGTCCGTTGCGGCCAGATCGCCACCTCTCTTCGCAGCGTAGTCGATTAAACCTTTCAGTCTCACGATCTCGTCTTACTCGGAATCATCGTCTGTCTTCTTGGTGTTGGGCGATAAAACCGTTGGTTTGGGGGTTGCTTGAACCTATTCATCTTCGGAGGTTTCTTCTTCTTCCGATGAAATTTCCTCCTCTTCCTCAAAAGAAGAAACGGCCGGCGGTACGTTAAGAGGGGAAGCGCGTCTTGGTGCCATGGATGGGATGGAGGAGGAGACGGAGGGTTTCAGACGCGCTTCCCTACCATCCTACGCACATTTTGTTCTCCTGTTTTTACTTTTTAATGTTTCAGGGTCTTCATTCCCATTTGCTGCCACTTTTTCAGTGTTTTCCCCCACATTTGCAGCCTAAAGAAAGCCCATAACAACTATACCCCGTAGCCGGACCCTTAAAATCCGATTTGCCAATCCATATGCACAAAGATAGTAGTGTCTACTCTAATTTGCAGCAATAGGTGATAAAGGACAACCGAAAACTATAAAGACCTCTACAAAATAATCATAAATTTTTTTTTCTTATCATAAACCTCTAAGAAATTCAATGTCATGAAATGCAAGTTTAAGACATGTGGGTATGTTTTTTTTCATTCTTTTGAAGAATTCTTTCTAGCCACAATTAATTTTTAGTGTAAGTTTTTTTTTTTTAAATTTTTTTACAAATACTATTTTGACTTATAGTTAATGTGCGGTATGCTAATGAATTTTAATATAGGATAAATTTTGATAAATAAAAATTATGAATTAGTGGAGACATTAATGAATTTATGGTCTGTTTAATTAATGTATTTAGGTCAATAATTTTAATTTGAATTTAAATTTTACATGATAACTATTAGTAGAAATTTTTGTTATTCAATTTTTTTAATGAAAAGAAGGATATTATTTAACCAAATGGGCTTGGATGCAAATATATAAACATTATTCAATTTATCGATTTAAATTTAAAATTTAAAATTTATTATAATAAAAAATTATAAAAAACAATAACATCAAAATTTTTTAATTATATTAAAAAATTTACACAAAAAATTATATAACATCTTAAATTAAAAACTCTTAATCAGCGGATTCATAATTACTCGTGACCTAATAGTATCCATATCAGCCGAGAAAAAAAAGAAAAAACCCAATCTTCCCTTCCTCTGAAACCCTCCGCCTCCTCCTCCATCCCATCCATGGCACCAAGACGCGCTTCCCCTCTTGACGTACCGCCGGCGGTTTCTTCTTCCGAGGAAGAGGAAACTTCATCGGAAGAAGAAGAAACCTCCGAAGATGCGCAGGTTCAAGCAACCCCCAAACCAACGGTTATATCGCCCAACACCAAGAAGACAGACGATGATTCCGAGTCCGACGACGAGTCGAGTTCCGAGTCCGAGCCCGCCGACTTGACCGTCCAGCCCTTACCGTCGAAGCCGATGGAGGAGAAAGGGGCCAGATCCAAGTCCTCCGTCGCCGCCACGCCGGAGAAAAAGTCGGTGGCGAAGAGGCCGAGAGAGTCCGAGACCACCGCAAAGGACTCGAAGAAGCGGGTGAAGAAGAAGAGCGACCCTGAAGTGCCTCCTCCTGAAGCGGATGGCGACGGCGGAGGAGCGTCTGATGAGGAGCAGGAGGAGTCGAAGAAGCCCGGCGGAGACGACTCGAAGAAGCTGTTCCAGAGGCTGGGGAGCGAGGAAGACGAGATCGTGATACTGAAAGGTTTAATCGACTACGCTGCGAAGAGAGGCGGCGATCCGGCCGCAACGGACATGTATGGCTTCCATTATTTCATCAAGAAGTCGCTGCACGTTGAGGTCACGAAGGCGCAGTTATCCAACAAAGTCCGGAGGTTAAAGAAGAAGTACTCAAACAACGCGGCAAGGAAGAAATACAACCCTACGAAGCCGCATGAGCAGAACGTCTTCGAGCTCTCGAAGAAGATTTGGGGCGGCGGCGGCAGCCGTGCCGGCGCCTCTTCGCCGAAGTCGAACGGCGCTGCAAAGAGTAACGGAAAGGCTACCCTGGATTTACCTGCAGCTCCGAAAGACGGTTCTAGAAAGAGTGAGATTGGTGGGAAATCGAGCGTTTCAGTGCGTTCGAGTGAGATGATTAGATATGGTATGAAGAGCTTACCAGAAGAGGTTGTGAAGAAGGGACTCGATTTGCTTCCGGAATCGAAGAAAGCCGAGTTGGACGCCATGTGGAAAAAGCTTCACATTGATGAACTGGAGCTTTTTGTAGAGAAGAATCAGTTGATGAACGAACAAGTCAAGTTGGTCCTCGAGAAGCTCAAGTCTTCTGATCATTAGTGGGTATTGGTGAGGTATAGCTTGTGATGGATTTTTTGCTTATTAACTTATAATGGCTTTTCGGCTTCATTTTGCCTTTCAAAAAGGGGGTGGGGGGTGAAGATTGTGTTAGGAGTTTCTACTTTGTTATGCGCAGTGTTTATTGCTAAATTTGAAGCTGATGGCCTTTAACTATGTGAGTAGCTATCTAATGGAACTGCATATTTTCGCTTACGATATTGATTTTGCCTTAATTGTGGTTATAATTTCCCTTTCTTTGTTGTGATTGTCTTTGTAGTAGAATCATTTAGATTTATCATTTTCTTTTTTTATTATTATTGATAAGATAAGAAAAGAAAAATATAAGCTATAAGCGTTTATGTGGTTTGCTGGACCTTAATCGTCTTATCTTTCTTGCTTTGAGTGCCTCACGTTTAAAAAACGGCCGGGCTGTTAGCCATCAGTTTGTTTTTTTTTTAATTATTTCAATTTTGGACTCTCAATCCTTATATTTGTTCGTTTCGAGTATCTCAAGTTTTTGAGAACAATGGGGATTTTAATCATCTTATATTTGCTTGTTCCGAGTATTATCAGAATCTCAAGTTTTTGCAATTTGCTTCAAATTACTAGGTAATTGCACTACTCTTGCCATCTTCTGTTGTGATTTTGAATCTGTTACACCAGAATTTCTTCAAATGGATAGGGTGTCCTTATTCTTTTATCTTTTCTATAAGCGTTTATGTGATTTACTGGACCTTAATCATCTTATCTTTCTTGCTTTGAGTGCCTGACGTTCAAAAAACGGCGGGGCTGTTAGCCATCAGTTTGTTTGTTTTGATTATTTCAAGTTTGGACTCTCAATCCTTACATTTGTTTGTTCTTATATTTGCTTGTTTCGAGTATTATCAGATTCTGAAGTTTTAGCAATAGTGCTTCAAATTACTAGGTAATTGCACTACTCTGGCCATCTTCTGTTGTGATTTTGAATCTGTAGTGCCAGAATTTTTTCAAATGGATAGGATTTCCTTATTCTTTTATCTTTTCTATTTAGTAGTTTCTTTATCTATGTGCCAATCTCTTCTTTGATTGCTAGTTTGACTGATGTTTCATTCAGCTGGTTTGGCGATCTAAATAAAATATGTTAGCATGAATAGTTACCTACCATCCTACTCACATAAATATATATATATATATATATATTGCCTTTTGTTTTGTTTTATTTTTTGTTTTTCTGTTTTTACTTTTTAATGTTTCAGTGTCTTCACTCCCATTTGCTGCTACTTTTGCTACTTTTTCACTGTTTTCCCCCACATTTGCAGCCTAAAGAAAGACAACTATACCCCGAAGCATGACCCTTAATCTCTCAAGCAAAGCTCTTTCCTAAAGCTTTTAAGTCGTTAACATACGTACTGTAGCAGCATACATAAAATTTAAAGGTTTCTTTTTAAAGTTTAAAGTTTTCGCTACCACCTGGTCCTTAGCTTGGACATCAGAAGGGGCTAAATAATTTCCATGGTTTTCTTGTAAAGTTATGCTTCCTTGCTTAGTTTTCTTGTTTAAATGCTCAACCAGTTGATGCATGGCTGGCTTTAAAGTAGATTTTGGAAGGAAACTTAAATTTTGGTTGAACAACATGTTTTGGTTGGAAGATGATGAGGTATGGCTTAATTGAAATGAAACTGCTTTGATTTTATCAAATCTCTGTTTCTAGTGTTGTATAGTTGAGCTACTACTGTTTTTCGTCTGATTGGTATTTGAGTTGAAGAACTATTTGTGCTAAGTGGAAGCCCGGCAATGAAAAGGATACAATTACCTACCATTCCTTTGTGCTACTTAGTTGTAATTGTTATCTTTCTTTTTTTTCTTTCTTTTTTTTTTTTTCTCAAGTGTAATTATTATGCTTTTGATTGTATATGTGAGCTAAATATTTTTGTGTCATATATGAGCTAATATTCTATAGTGTTTGTTCTTTTTTGCTTAAAGTTTCCTGTATGGTACATTTTCTTCCCATTCATTTCCTTGTTGTGTGATGGCTCTCTCTTTCAAAAAGCATTATTCAATTTTAAAACATTTGGGTTCTTTGGTACCAAATTGATAGAGCTGGACAATTTCTATTTCAGAATAGTATAGAAGAACAAGCCAGAAAGAAAAGAAGAGTAATTCTTTATTGCTCCTTATTGATGAATTGATATAGTCCAGCTTTAGCAGGGCTTCCAGCCTAACTTGCTTGGAATATTCTCCAAGACTTTCCAAGACCAATTCCCAGTTCTTGAAACTAGAAGTAACTAACTCAAGCCCCCAGAACAACATCCTAACCAACTCAACTTCCAATCACACTTCCATATTCCTTCTAACAAAAACCTGTCTAATTAAAGGCTTAGGCTTATAAGTTCTCTTCTCTCCTTTGCGTTGATTGGACCTGTCTAACCATGGTCAGCCTACGTTTGCATTTCCAGCACACAAATTCACAATGAAATAGCTGCTATTCTTGGTTATTCTTCTCGTGGCTTCTTTTTATTTACTTTGTGTTCAATCTTGTTTCGTTCTTCGTTTGCTCGAGACCCAACGCCCGTTATACGTTTGTGTTTCTCACTAAATATGAGGATTGTTTGGTCGTTCTGATGGAAGAGGAATCTGAACGGAGTGTTGGTAAATTAGTTTGGGAATTGAGTTCTGATTTTTGTAAACAACTGAGTCCCTGTATTTGGGAAGACCGAGATCGTCAATTTCAATTGGTGGGTTAGCCAGATCGATTGTGCCACACTCAGCAGAATGGCTTTTTGGTTACCAATTAACACAATCGTCAACAAAATGAGCCCCGTCCCCACAATTTAACTAATGGAAAACACTAATAAGTTTGGGATAGGAGGCTAATTAACAAATTAGAAGTTTACGAGACAAAGTTGTCAAATGCTGACAAATTCAGGGTGCAAATGTGCATTATACAATAATTTTTAAATTTTTATCATTTTTTTAATGTGCATAAAACTGTTTTTTGATGACGTGTATTAATTTCTTATGTGCCATTACTACTTGTACAAATTGGAAGCCTCTCTTGATTGTTAAAAAATCTGGTGTGCTTACATGATTTGTAATGTTTCAGGAACTACCGTTCTCTTATATTAATTGGAGACACAACCGGAAGATTAATGAGTTATGATCCTCAAAGCGAGCAAGTAGATGTTTTACTTGAAAATCTCTCATTCTCAAAAGGGAGATTTCCTTTTGATTGCAGAGACCACGTCTTGCAGGATCATGAGGTATTATTGGCTACGAACTCCCAAGGCTGGGACTTTTGAAGTCTTTGCACAATTGCCAGGATTTTCAGACAACATAAAGGAGTCCAAGAGGAGGATTTTGGGTGGGAATTCACTCAGAAAGAAAAAAGGTCTTTGAATTGATTCTTTCATATCCAAGTATAGCAAAAGCCATTCTTCAGCTTCCATTTGATGTAATGAAGACGTACACTTGTCTGGGTAAGTGGAAAGGAAGAGGGTTGATGATTAGGTTGAGTGAGGAAGGTGTTTTGTTGGATGTGCTTGAAGACAAGAGTGGTGTGAAATGGAAAGCTGTTTCTGAGGTGGAGGAGAGAGATGGGAATCTTTGGATAGGATCTATACATAAACCTTGTGCTGGAAAGATCACATTAAATGATACAAATTAATTACACAAACTTGTAATATATGTTCAGTAAAATTTCGTCTAACATTTATCCAACGCCTTTAGACTAAAAATTCAGGTTGAATAAGAAAATTATCTAAGGAAATTTAAATAACATTTGAAGAACACAAAGAACTTCAGAAAAAGTAACAAGGACAAAGTGAAGACAATTATAAGGCAATTGTATTCAGAAATGAGTGCGTATCTTTTCGTCTCAAACCGAGGGAATTTATAATATATTGGGAATTCTTCCCATTAATTTGGGATTTTTTTCTCTTTTTAATACAATAAGGCTCTTCACCTCTTTTGAGTGTTAAAAAGAATTAATAAACAGATTAAACTTGAATTATTAAATACCTTTAATCGTATTTGACATTGAGGCTTGATAACTCTTGATCTTCCAACTTCTTTCCTACCTAAGCGTATGCTCGGGTGGTTTCCCTACGTACGCTCGAGTAGTCTCCCTAGCATACGCTCGGGTGTTATCCGAACGTATGCTCGGGTTGCCCGAAAACTTATTACATTTTATTAGCTCTGAAAGCGCCAGGCCAGTAAGAACGTTTCAAAATTATTTTTTATTTGTCATTATCCTTATTAGTGTACACTTCTGACCGATCACAGTTTTATTAAAAAAAATTCACAATTTTGAACTACTAAAAATGAATAATAGTGACATATTTGCTCTTTTATATATTTACAATTTAGGACAAGAATTTATGGTTTGGGACAAGAAAACAAAAGAAATAAAGATAAAAGATAAAAAAGGGGAGAAAAAGCAGAAAAAGAATAAAAACTGTACGGGACATAAAAGTTAAAAAAAAATAAAGCTAAGAAAGAAAAAATGGAACAAAGAAAAGAGAAAAAATAAAAGAAGAAGAATTTTTGGTTCGTAAATGACGACTAAAGGAAGTAAATTTCTATTATGTCATGTAGTTAGGACTAACTATTAAGATGTAGCAACTAGCCAATTTAAGGAGGCAAAAAGGGAAAAAAAGAAGGCAATTTGTTTTTGTTTTTTTGGCTCTAGGGTACATTATGTGGTTCATTTATCCTAAGGAATTTGAGTCATTTCCACTTTAGCTGAGCTCTTTATGGACTTTGAATTTGGTAGATGTGGAAGAGAAAAATACACAATTTGTCATAGTTTTGTGAATCTTTATTATTTATGTTATTCTAAATAGTTAGGTGTCGTTGTTATTTTTATTTTCTCTTTATTAATTTAGTGACAATTATTTATTTTTTTAATAGTGATATAAATAAAAAAATTGTCATTGGTTTTTTAATTTTTTTCCCCAGAAGAGAAATATGGGTCATGGTCTCATTTCTTAAAGGGGATCTATATCTATATAGTGTAATTTTATGAGTTCTCATACAATTTTTAAAATGTGTAGTAATTATATGACTGCTGTTTACTAACACTACATTACTAACACACTCTATAGATCAAAAAAAAAAAAAAAAAAAAAAAAAAAAAAAAAAGTTATACAGTAATTATTAAAATTATGCTAATTCCCTCTTTGTTCATGGTTATACCGTTAATGATTATTAAAATTATGCTAATTCCCTCTTTGTTCATAGAAAATTAGAGTTCTTAACATATTAGACCGATTAACGGGCTTAGCGAGATGCTTCTAGGCCTCAAGGCCTTTGGCTGCTGGTTGTTTATCACAGGCTTGGGGTTGCTTGCCTAGCCCACTATTGAGGCCTTTGGCTGCTGGTTGTTTATCACAGGCTTAGGGTTGCTTGCCTAGCCCACTAAAACGCACGGGTCGTTATATTAAACCCAAAAAACTTATAGATTTCTCCAATAATTAATGTTTCTCAAATAAAGATTTGTAAAATTTATTCTTTTAGAGATATAATTTTCATAATATCTAATTTAACCTTTTCCTACCTCAACCTAATTTTAATCTTAATTTAATTTTCAAAATAATATAATGTCATTCCACTATTAATGTTATATTTCTTTTTAAACATTAATGTAATTATCTTTATCTTTATTTATTTTGTTTTCGTCTTATTTTCTTCTTCTTATTTATTTATTTTACGATGTCCATTAAGTAAGAATAAAGTCTCTATAGCACAAAAGTAATTAGATGCGATAAAAAAAACTGTATACACAATGATGTTGATGCATATAAAAGTTCAACGACCATCGGATATTTGTAAAATATGCTCATAACGTTTTAGATAAAATTGGTAGAAGAAATATTTAAGAACCAAAAAAAGACTCAAGAACTATCTAATCCAAAAGTTGTTTTTTTTTTTTGGCAACATCACTTCCTACCAACTCACAAAGCACTTTGATGCGAGCTACATGAGGATTTGCCCATCCATATGACAAGGAATGGAAGTGTGGATGAATCGACATCAAATAGAAGAATTTAGTTTTTCTTTTTTTTATTGAGCCGGATGAAAGGACCGGTTGTTGACGCAGTCGATGCCAGAAACAGGCATAGAAAGGTATCCTCATCCTTCTTAGATTCAAGTGATTTCGTACCCAATTGGCTCAGTTTGAGTTCTAACTATAGCTGCAACCTATCTCATATTTGGGAGAAGTGTACCGCTCTCGATCAAATTAGAAATTTCATAAGAGAAGAAAGCGTAGAAAAGAAAGGAGAAATTATTTTGATTCGAGGCTCCTCCCTTTTCTTTCAAGTATTTAACGGTTGGGATTTTAGCTATAAGAAAAAATATATATCTCAAACAATGTGTGATAAAGGACAACCGGGAACCATAAAGATCTGTACAAAATAATTACAAATTTTTTTTCTTATCATAATCTCTTAAGAAATTCAAATCATGGAATGCACGTTTGAGACGTGACGGTATGTTTTTTTTTTCATTCCTTTGAAGAAGTCTTTCTAGCTATAATTAATTTTTAGTGTATTTTTCTTAATTTTTCTAAAAATACCATTTTTATTTATAGCTAATGTGATGTATGTTATTGGATTTTAATGTAGGATAAAATTGTGATAAATAGAAATTATGAATTAGTGGACACATTAATAAATTTATAGCCCGTTGAATTAATGTATTTAAGTCAGTAATTTAAGTTTTAATTTTAATTTTTTACGGAATTGGAAATTTTTTTATTCAAATTTTTTAAATAACAAAAAGGATATTTTCAACGCTTCAACCAAATGAGCCTGGGGTGCAAATATATAGGGCTTGTTCATTTGTACCCAAACTCAAAAGATGTTTAAACTTAAGTTATAACTTTATTCAAGTTCATGTTATTTTGTAAAATTTGAGTTTGAACTTGAATTTTAACATGAGTTTGAAGTTAAAATCTGAGTTTAATTTCCTCCTTCAACTCAAGTTTCTAAACTCAAACTTAAGTTAATGAACATTACTTTTTTTATTCTAAAAAGCGCCATAACTTTTTCGTTTCAATTTCGATTGAGTTGATTTTTTTCTATGCGTTCACAACGAAGACACGAATAAAACCATACTCATATACCCTATTAAATTTTTTCATCTCCATTGAGTTTTTATTAAAATACTATCTAAATATAAATTTAAGTTTTGACCAACCGGAACACAAACTCAAATAGATTCTCAATTCAAACTATAACTCAAAATGTGCAAATCTAAACATAAGTCTCAACTTAAACCATACTTAAATATACTTTAACTTAAATCAAGATCTCAACTCAAGTCACCTTAACTCAAACAATGCAAATGAACAAGCCATAATTACTCGTGACCTAATAGTAGGGCTGTTCATGGGTCGGGTTGGTGCGGGATAGAGCTTTTTCTTCCCCCGCCCCAAAGGGTGTGGGTTGCACATATTTGGCCCCAACGATGTTAGAAAAATTTCACAGCCCAATGATGTTTGGGTTGGGTTGGAGCGGTGCGGGGTGAGTTGGGTGCTCGGTTTCAACATTCAAAGGATCAAAGACTCAAAGTTCAATCCAACATCAAACATGAAGCAAAGCAGTACATCTAACATCAAACATAAAGTAAACATAAATTAGTCTACATTCATAAATTAGTCTTAACATAAAACAAACATAGAGGCTTAATTCAAACATGAAGAAATTAGATAGTAGAAATGAATTGCATATCTATGATTTGATAGAACATGAGGTAAGTTAGAGCGCATGTTGGGTTGGGGTGTGTAAGCCATCATAGATTCAACTCATACCCCGCCCTAAAACTTCAGGCCAAACATTGAATAGGCCGTAAAAAAAAATTGATATTAAAAATTATATTTTTCAAATTAAGTTGGGGTGGAGTGGGTTGGGTATGTGGGTTTCGCCGGTTTATGAACAAACCTACCTAATAGTACCCATATCAGCTGAGGAAAAAAAAATACAATCTTCTCTGCCTCCGAAACACTCTGTCTCCTCCTCCTCCATCCCATCCATAGCAGTAAGACGCGCTTCCCCTCTTGACTTGTTCATTCATCAACTGATTCTTCTTTACAAAAAGCTCCAGTTCATCAACATGAAGCTTTTTCTGTTGGGATTGTTTAAATATAACATTTAAGAATTTGTTAAGTTTTATCACATCTAAAAGTGGACAAAATTTCCAGCAAGCCTGGCACTTTGGCGCTGCATTTGGGTGCCGCAGCGCTGGACTGGACAAAATTTCCAGCAAGCCTG